AAAAAAAAAATGAATGATGCCGGGATTGAACCCAGGCCGCCGGCGTGCCAGGCGAGCACGTTGCCGCTAGGACAACGAACTCATTTATAATTATAAACTCATTAGTGGTATATCTTCAACATATTGAATAATTTTTTCTATTGAAATTCCACAAGATGTGGCTTCCCCCTTCCGCTCGTTCTACAGTCGGCTAGATTTCAGTCAAACAAATAAAAAACAAAAAGCATTCATGCGGCAGAAAATGAAATTCACCCGTGTGGCGCCCTCCCTCTCTTGGGGTGCAGTACTACGATGCCGCTGGGGTTACTCAAACCCCCAGAACTGAGCCTCTACTTTAGTCAATCCTCTTTGAGAGAAACTAACAATTCAGTTATTTATTCCTTTATTTTGATAATTAAAAATCGTGAACATGACGAGGGAGATAATTACACTTCAACTGGGGCATTACGCTAATTATGTGGGAGCTCATTGGTGGAACCTGCAGGTGACAAACCGATAATTAAAATCGAATAAACAATTTCCTGGACATAACCCTCGGCACCGATAATATCCTAAAATCACCGATTTCTCTCCACAGGAAGCGAATTTCTCTTACGATCCATCCCATCCCTCAGAAATAGACAATGATGTCTTGTACCGAGAGGGAGAAAACCCCCGGGTGAGTAAAGATAATTTTTATTGTTCTCTCGAATTCCTGAATTGAAAGTACAAAAAATCCTTACGATAATATCCCAAAAGTATTTTTCCAGCGAGAAGTGACATTTACCCCTCGCTTGCTCATAGTCGACCTGAAAGGCTCCCTAGGTTACCTTCCAGAACGAGGATCACTCTACGACCAAGTCCCTGACCCAGAATCCGGGCCCAGTGGGCTCTGGGACCCAGACAACCTAGAAGTCACCACCGAGGATCCCCTCCCCAAGTCTCCCTTCATCCAGAGCCTGGAGAAGTCGAGAGAGACCGAGGAGGAAGTCTCCTTGGACCTCGACACCGAGATCCAGAGTTGGGTGGATTACCTAGTCCCCAGGTTCCACACCCGAACCGTCAACATCATCAGAGAGTACCAGCACAAGAGCTCAAGCCCTCCCTTCGACGTCTTCCATTATGGGAGGAATCTCTGGAGTTCTGAACAATTCCAGGACGATTTCTGCGACAGGATCAGGGCTTATGCCGAGGAGTGCGATCTCATGCAGGGATTCCAGGTGAAAAACAAGACGTCACTACTCCGTTGTGCCATTAATTTTTTATTGAAAATGACCTCAAGACTAAATGAATTGTCTTCAGGTTCTCTTGGACTCGACAGATGCCTTCGCCGGGCTTTCAACATCGTGTATTGAGCACCTGCACGATGAATACACCAAGAGTATCGTAGCTTTCCCTCTGATCGAGTCCCGCAACTCGAAACCCTCGGCGTCAGATCACCTGAAGGCAGTGAACATCGCCCTGTGCTACCAGCAATTGAACGAGCACGTATCCCTGTACAGTCCTCTGAGTTGTGGAGAGAATGGCTGGCTTTCTTCAGGTGCTCCCAGGGTATTGCCCTACCTGACTTACAATCAGGATTTGAGGTACCACACGAGTGCTCTCTTGGCCACAACCCTGGACACATTGACAATCAGATACAGGCACAAGCAGCACACCATGTCGTCCCTCTCAGACTTGTGTGCAGATCTCAATAAATCTGGAAGGAAAGCAGCAGCCACAACCCTCAGTCTCCCATTCCCCATGACAGTAAAACGAGATCTCATTGATATTCTTGACGATCTGGAGAACGAGTCTACTCCTCTATGGACGAGTCTCACACCCAGGGTCACTGTCTCCGGGGACAGCTGCATGCAAAGTCTCACACTCAGGGGCGTCAGGGAGGACCGACTGAAGAGGCCAGTGCCTGAGGCCAGGAAGCAGATGGCTAAACCTGCATACAGGTTAACATTAACTTTTATTATATTTTATCAGAGTCTCAGGAATCTGAATCTAGAAATAATGAGAATTTGAAAATTCGATGATCATTCGTGATAAAAATACTCCAACAGATGCTCCACTGTTCACGAGATGATGAGCATGTACCTGGCGTACTCCTGTCATGCTTCTGCCACCCATCTCACTACCCTGGAGTCTGGTCTCAAGGTTTCCGCACCTTTTCCTAAGATTTTTAAGGATAATATCCATGGAAATGGGGATATCGCTGGCTGGCCCGTTGGCGAAGGTTTGTAAAAATGAAAAATTTAATGATCCATTAATTGTCACTTGTAAAAATTTTATTCCAGAAATTCCAGAATTTTTTGAAGATAATTAATGAATGAATTACTGTTCCAGAGGTGAAAAGTGTTCCAGTATTATCAGGAATTCACAGCACCCCCGAGCTGTCAAGATTATTCGAGTCCCTTCACGATTCATTAGCCTCGATAAAGAATATCAAGAGGTTCCACGCCCTGGCGGACTCTGGCCTCGAGCAGGACGATTTCAAAGAGTGCTTAGATCACTTACTGGACAGCAAAGAGAATTACGAGGAGCACTTCGTCTAATCCCTCAATTTTGTACTGCGTAATGTGATTTTAAATATACAAATGATATTTACTGTTATGTCTTTCAATTCTTTGAACTTCAAGTGGAAAATCCAGGATGTCGACGATTTATTCTGCGATTAAACCAATTGCTGTGAAGACAATCCACTAATCACGCTCGAGTCGAATCGGTAATGTGCGTGTGCCCAATCTCTTTGGGATGTTTTTTTTTTTTACTTCACGTGGGTGCGAACAGGTGCGGTTCACCACGCGAACACCAAAGGGGAGTATTTTAATTTATTTCATCGAGAAAACAACACTGAGAATTCAAATTGGGAGGAGAAAGTTAAGAGATCGAATTTTCTCACTGGAATTTCTTCGATATCTCCGGAGGTAGTGAGTTCAAAGAAAACTATAAAGGAAACTTTTCGGGAAGAATTTCCAGATCTACAAAAAATTCTCCCAACATTTTTCTGTGAATGCAAGGGTTCATGAGATAATTTTTTAATTTTTTTCTGTTATTTTCTCATTATTGGATGAAGGACGTTGATTAGGGGGTAGTAATAACGATGATGGATTGAAAAAATGAGACACATGACGCAGTAATTTCTGAATTGATCAGAGTCAGGCGAAACCTGATGAGTGGGAGCGCCAGGGCGCACCTCCTAGTTATTACTATTTCGAATAGAGTATCGAGGGTGTCCGAGTACTTTTGTCAGTTCCACCACAGTGTTTTATCAGTTCCAAAGCTCGACAAATGGGGAATAAAATTGCGACATTCAGTGAGGATCAGCTGGAGGACTACCAAGACTGCACCTTCTTCACACGCAAGGAAATCCTGAGGTGAATCCACCCCCAGTGAATTCACGTCTTCAGTTTTTCCAGCAAACCCTCAATTCTATTTGTTGTAGAATATTCAAAAAATTCCGGGAAATCGGAGAGCCGGGGGCTGTTCCCCGCAGAATGTCCCCAGATGATGCCTCAAATCTTCGGATTCCACTCTCGTGTCTCGAAAAAATTCCAGAATTACGAGTAAGATTTTTTAATTTATAATTAGAAACAGTAAAAAGTGGTGAAATTATATAATTCCAATTGGCGCGATAAATCACAGGAAAATCCATTCAGGGAGAGAATATCCGAGGTATTCACCAGCCCAAACGAGCACAACTCCGTGGAAGAGGGTATCTGCTTCGAGGAGTTCCTGGAGATGATGTCTGTATTCTCGGAGCAAGCCCCACGTGATTTGAAAGTTTTTTACGCCTTCAAGATTTATGGTAAGTGCGGAAATGCATTGAGAAGTGGAAAAAGTAATTACCCAGGGCCTCAGGTAGACGGGGACCCACTCCAGATCTTTCCGGGAGGAAAATGAGGCAAGTCCCCAGGATTAATGGATCGGTCGATAATTTATCTCGGCGATGGGACGATAAGAATCCTAAAACTTCATTTTTTTAAATCCCTCAAACTGAGGAATGAGAAAATAAAATCAATAATCAATAATAAATTTTTTGTTGAGGGGTAAAACTGAAAATTTTTGTAGACTTCGACGATGATGGAGTCGTAGGGATGTCAGACCTCGAGAGAACCTGTCGCCAGTTGGTACAGGATGGTCTGACAACCGAAGAAATAGCTACGATCTGCAAGAAAGTTCTCGAGGAAAGCGATATCGATGGAGATGGTGCATTATCTTATCTCGAATTCGAACACGTCGTCACCAGAGCCTCGGACTTCCTGGCAACATTCCACATTCGCATCTAGTCTTTCACACCCTTCATATCAATAAATAATCTCGACCAATCACTAATCGAATAGCTAATTAATCTCCACACCAAATTAATTCCAAAAAATCGAATTCAATAAAAAAAACGCGTAAAAATTCCCCCTCAACCGCTGATTACAGAGATAATGTCCTCAATAAATCCCTCCCCCCGAAATTCTTAATTATCCATCTTCTCCATGAATCTCCTCCCCCGGATTGTACTTCCTCCCCGGGATAAAAAAAATAACAAAGATTGAAGTTGAAGCCCGTGAAGAATTTTTTTTTTTTCCTTTTGTTTCGAAATGGGGGGAGAGTGGCCGCCAACAATGTACGAAAAATGAGGGGGTGGGGGAGGTGGCGGGGGCTGACGGCGGAGAGGGGAATGGACCAAGGGTTTCTCTCCTCCATATCCAAGATGTGAAAATTCAAAGGGTGAGAGAGGCGGCGACGACGAGTGAAGTGACCGGATGGCCTTGGTTTCGAGACTCGGTTAGTTACCACGAGGAATACTGGCTATAACTGTCCCCGCCTTCGTGGAACAAGGTGATATCTCCAATTTCTACGGCTCTCTTTCCCTCCCCCTTCTTCATTTTTTATTATTTATTTTATTTCAGGTGGAGCCCGAAGCCAACCCCCCGATTTTGCCAGGGGAAAAAAAATATAATCAAGTGGTTGAGTGGATTTTTACATGTTTCACTCCATTTTTACGACTGGGGAATGGGTTTCTGGGTGATGGCCTCACCCGTCGGCAAATACGATTTTTTTTTCCACCAGTTTTTCGGTATTTCGAGCCACTCTTGGGTATTTCTAAAATTCTACTCGTTATGTCGAGTGCAGCTGAAGTCCCTCATTCACGAGAATTTTTGGGAGAAATTCTGGGACTGCACTAGGTCTGGAATTTCTTCATTTGTAGGTCTTGTAAGAACGATTTGATAAAAAATCGCTAAAGAATATTTTTGTAGAAAACGAAATTTGCATTTAAAAAAAATGAGCCAATATTAAAGAAAATTGTGTAGTATTTTTTGAAAAGTTTTTCGAGAAAACTTGTGGTTCGTGCAACCTCTCATGATTTCTCCTCGTATTCTTCATTGGATTCTTGCCGAGAGAAAATAGAAGTACATGCGGAGGTGTGCATGAAAAGACGAGAGTCCTCGGAGAGTAAAAAAAAGACGGATAAAATGCAGAATGAAAAAGGAGAAATGGTGGAGGAGGAAGGCGGATTTTAGAGGCGAACTTTAACGTTGGTACAGCGTGGGCGAGGGAACCGGCTCCAGAGTTAGCTCTCGAAGCTTCTCTTGCTGCTTCTTCCCCGGAGGCAGTCGGTACCAAGGATGGATTGTAGTTTTAAAATGTGAGACTAAAGCCTCTTGTTTTGGCATTGAATAAAACTAGAAGTACCACCAGGTAGTATTTAATATCAATCGTAATTTATCCCTATCTTTTATTTCGAGATTAGCCAGATGGAGTACATGGCTGCAGTCTTCACTCTGGTACCAGAAAAATCACTCCAAGTCATTCGCCAAACAAACTGAAACCCACGGGACTGATAGGCAATCTCAAGAATTTCCCACCGATTATTCCTAGTAATTTCAGAGAAATTGTTATTTATAAAATTAAATTGATGAATGTATCAAATAATAGCTACTTCAAAGATATTTATTATTATATTATTTAATTCTAATTAAAAAAATAGATGAAGAAAATTTGCCAGAATTTTTCTTGGGGGGTGAAAAATGAGGGGTGATTGGGTGAAATAATGGATGAAAAATTGTGGAATTTTGGTGAGGCCCTAAAAATATAATCCCCTACATTTTCGTTTGGTTGTCGCCCTGTGGCCAGGATAAAAGAGCAAAACAAGTTGGCTGGAGCAAGGGTATACTCATTGGGCTGGGAGAAGTCGGTTGGTCGACGGAATGTTGCTTGACCACCGGCTGCCCCCTGCCTCCTGTCCCTGGGCCCATCTCAAGCCAACCGGCCAGGGCCTAATGGGGCACCCATTGGGCTGCTCAAATATTCCTCCTCTATCTCACGGAATAATCTACCCCTCCAGTGAAATCCCTTTCGCCATTTCACCCGACAAATCCCCGGGACATTGAGCCAAAGCAAAATAAAAATCTATAATCAATAATTCGCGGATTTTTTAATGCTGCGAAAAAGGTAATAAAAGCGCCTCCTCAAGGTCGGGGCAATGAGTGACCCCAGGCCCTCGGCCTCGAAGAGCTCCGGCTTGTGGAGGGGTCTTGCAATCCCTATCTCAGGCGAAATTTTAAAGATAATAAAGAAAATGAGAGAGGAGGGAGAAATATTGTGCCGAGGTATTGTACAGCGAATCAAAGGAGGAAGGAATACTTTAATCGTATTCGGAGATCGTGCGGGCTCTTGTAGTTTATTATAATGCCAAGATAACTCTTGGCATCTTGCCCTTTCTTTTCGGTGCTTTATACACTTCAGGTATCATTTTTCCACATTTTTTTTTTCACTCCACAGAATCATATCGGTTTTTTAAGTCATTCCGATCGAGACGTGGAAAAATCCACCGTCGAGATGTTCTACAATTTATTTTTCGATTTTTCGATTGATTTGAAAAGTTGTTTCAGGGTTTAGAAATTTTTTGGAAGAAAATCGGTGGAAATTCGGGGAAATACCGCGAAATGATTAAATTCCTTCAAAATTAATTTTTCAAATCGAAACCCTCGAGAAATCCTGGAGATGAAAAATGCGGAGATCTCGAATTTGAATTGAGGAATTGTTTAGTATTTTGAGTGGTCGGCGTAAACCAGCGATATTTATTCCGCGAGCACATCGCGGTCGTCCGCAGAATGGCAAAAAAGTCGAGAAAATTTCCCCCCAACAATTTGAAGAAAGATTGCGAAAAAGGGAGAGAGAGGAGGGGAAGAAAAAAAATTCTAAAACTGAATAAAACATCAATTTTTTCCCCGTCTTCTGAATTCCGCTAAACTAAAATAAAGTGAAATTCTAGTTTTCTCGAGTTAATCAGGATTGTCTGTCAGTCTGGAGTTGGCGGTGATGGAGGCAAAAGTAAAGCAACATCTTCTCCGGGCAACTCCCCCCTCTCATGGCATTTCTCCTCCTCCACTTTTTTTTTTATTCATCTTCTTTTTCTCTCTGTGGTACAACCTCTCTGGATATATCTGCATAACCGGTATTACAGACTATAGTCCTGCGAATATCGTGTGCGGTTCCTCCTGGTGATCATGGCGAAAGAGAGGTAATATAAACGCTCCTCGTGTGGGAAGCGTTACTGTAGCAAAAGAGTAACCGCCATTAGGTCGTAGCGTTTCCAGAGACGTTTGACCGGATCGTCTTGCCAAGGTAGAAAAAATCAAGACAAGGGGATTTTATTTTTTTTTTTAATCGATATTTATAGGTGGTGGTGAGAGCGTAGGCGCCCTCAGACTACCAATGACATCATCAGTGCCTTCAGCAATGACTCCAGAAGAGATAACCCGTCGAGAGCTAATCAAATAATATAATATCGCTGATTTTTCAGACTAATTATAATTGTACACCTTTCACACTCATCACTTGCGAATTTCCTCCAAATCCATTATTTTCATTCATCAGATTTTCATATCGCCATTCAAATAATTATTAACTCAAGGTTTTTTATACTTTCCACTTTTTTTTTAATACGAAAGATTTTTAATTATGGATTAATCGATTTATTAGAGGGAATAAATGGAGACTGAGGATTTAATTTGCGTTCACTGGAGACTTCAACTCTCGTTCCACGTCGAAGGCAATATTCCCGGCGGGTAAAATCCTGTGTTAAAAATAACTGTCCGACGAAATGATCTCGATGTGCATCCGATGCACGTGAATAATTTACAAGTCGAATATCATTGATGGATTAGTTGAAAAATTTTGGGCCCTGGGCAAATGAATTTTTGTCGATAGCCACTCGAGGTGAGAGAGCCTCCATCTCGTTTAGTTCTGTAATGGTCAGGCTAAAAAGGTTCACTAATGATCGGGCCTGGGCCCTCAAAGGTCCTCAGGATGATTGGACGAGACGAGAAAAAATGATGGGAGATGGTTTTTCATGGTTCATTCCAATCCACTTCTCCTGCGTTATCATAATTCAAGGGGCTTTCAGCTGTGTCATGAGTTCTGGCATATTGTGAGATGGAATAGGTGAGTACAATAGGCAATGATTTCATGAAAAATCGACAATTAATTTTCAACAAAGCCCCTACACTAACGAAAAACTCATTTATGACCCAGAAAATCATACGAAACCATTTATTTTGTCTCAACGTCATAAATATTAATTTATTTCTTAATTATTTCAATTTATTTTGAAACCTTCTCGAGTTCTTTTGAGGAAATAAATCATAAACATCAATTCAATCCCAAAAACATGACCAAAAAATTGCGGAAGTTCTTGAGAGAATAATTAAAAAAACTTTCTCATAAAAAGGGGAGTTCTCGAAAAATCAATTCTTTCCTCGGAGTAAAAAAATTAACTCCAAGCCCACAGATGTCCAAGGGACTCCCCAAATTATTAACAAAATCCTCTCCAGTGTGGGTGGAGTTACCCCAAACGGAAAAACCCTAGAAATGAAAAGGAAAAATAAAAAAAATACGTTGTAAGTATCAAATGAACGCTTCCGAATCCCACCTGACGGAGGTGAACTTGCGCAGTTGGAAATGGTTTTTTCGTCGATGGACAAGGTTAGGCCGAATGAAAGGGGCCTCATCGGTGAGGAGGGCAAGGGGGGTTGAGGAGGGGGCCCGAGGATTCTGGAACCGATGGGTGGGGGAGGCAAGAAAACACGAGCGAGAGAATCTGAAAGGAGATGAAACTCCTAACCGAAAAACTCGACCTCCCTCTCTCTTTATCCTCAACTCATCGTCGGTCTTAGGGGGTTCCAGGCTGAGGTTTTTCTTTTGTAATTTTGGTGCCTGGGGCAGGTGCGAAGCGATTTCTATAGTTGCTGCTTGGTAACGGCCCCCATCCGAAAAAATAACGCCGGTAAGG